ACTACCACCACCACCACTATTACTACTACCGCCACCGCCACCACCACCACCACCACCACTACTGCCATTGCTACTGCTACTGCTACTATTATTGTTGCTATGACTATTACCATGACAATTTTTATTACTTTTACTTTTACTATTACTATTACTACTACTACTACTGCTGCTGCTGCTACTACTACTACTACTATTAGCATCACTGCTACTACTACTACTGCTACTACTACCACTACTACTGCCACTGCTGCTACTACTACTACTATTACTACTACTACTGCTACTACTACTACTGCTACTACTACTACTGCCACTACCACTACCACTACCACAATCACTACAACTACCACTACCACTACCACTACTAGGACGACGACTACAACAACTACTACTACCTACTACCTACTACCTACTAACTACTAACTACTAACTACTAACTACTAACTACTGACTACTGACTACTGACTACTGACTACTGACTACTGACTACTAACTACTACTACTACCACTACTATTACTACTACTACTCCTACTCCTACTGCTACTGCTGCTGCTGCTACTACTACTACTGCTGCTGCTGCTGCTACTGCTACTGCTACTGTTACTCCTACTCCTACTCCTGCTACTACTACTACTACTTTTGCTACTATTACTACTACTACTACTACTACTACTACTACTCGTGAACTATAGGATCTAGAGGATTATATTTAAGGATACCGCCAAATTAATAAAAAGTTGTGAGGGCACCCCCTCATTGATACGAATTTAAGATCCCCCAATAGACTGCAGAATCTGAGAGCTTGAACTCCAGCTGACCCTCAGACTTATTAGACAATTTTCTCATAGAATGAAATATCAACCTACTTGAAAAATCACATTTTAACCATGAGGTCCAAACAAGTCAGCTTGTTCTCACAAAATGGGTGCCGGCGTTTCATTCTATAGAGAGGGCACGCCATGTCACCAGAGGTCTTAACATGTGATAAATCACCCCTCTATAAAATGATTTTTACACATGGGCCAAGATCTGTATCCAAACGTGTCCATATATAATCAAAACCAACCTCTTGGGCCACTCACGTCCAATATTTTTCAGAAATCAATTTCAACCATGCATTGTCCAAACATGTCTCTTTAAAATCAAAACCAACGTCTTGGGCAACTTTTGTCCAACAGTTTTCTGAAATCAATTTCAACCCTGCATTGTCCAAACATGTCTCTGCAAAATCAAAACCAACGTCTTGGGCCACTTTTGTTGTAACATTTTTCTAAAATCAATTTCAACCTTCATATTTTCCCACACTTTTGTATAAAATCAATACCAACCTTGGCTATGCATCATTGATTTTCCAATTTTTTGCTATCAATTTTTCATTCCAGCACTGCAGGAGGTTGATGCGTGATTCTACAATGGGGCAAATTGCCCTCTGAGCCTGGCTTTTCGTTTTATCACTATAAAATCACGTCCCAATGTACACCGGCAATTCCACAGGGGATAATTTAGGATTAGAGAAGCAAAGACAGCAGAATGGATTAATTTGCACAAAGACCCATTTGCTAGATGTTCCAGAATGGACAGGAGAGAGGGATCGGAACATGTTGATGTTGCCCAAACTTGACAATACACACCCAAAACGACTCAAGCATGAAGAGCAACAGCATTTCAACATTCCAATTCTCCAAACCCATGAAGGGTCAATATGGCCATGACCAAGATGAACAGTGACGTGTTGCTAGCTTGGACTTGTTCCTCCCCAAGCGGCGCTTTCGTTTGGAGGCTTTGCAGGGGCCTCCCGAGCATGCGGCGTCGCTGATGCCTCTTGGGATGAGCATCAACAAGGCACGCATGAAGCGACGATTTGCGATCGTCGCTTCATCGGTGGCGAAAGTTACTGTAAATTAAATCGCAAAGGTTTGTGGGATTCCATGGATTTATGTTGATTTGTTTATGTATCATGTACAAATATGCTGAACCGTATCATTGGGAGGGACATGGGTATGCTCACTGAATCATAATGTTTGCTCACAAAGAATCAAATGTCCTCTGGGAGAACCGTTAATTCCAGGGCGATATGTATACAAGGGTATGCAAAACAAGTAACTGCGCAAAACCTGTTTTTAAATATACACATCAATGATCATAAATGTGTACACATAGATCCATTTGAACTTGCCAAGCGGCATTGCAGACCAAGTACGAACGATGCATGTATTGGCTGGTTGGTTTCGTTTTTGGGCTGATGTGGATATTATGCATTTCCATCTCCAGAAAGTGCTCGGACGCGAGTTAATTGCACATGTGGTTTCGATGACTCTTGAGTGCAGTTTGTCTCCGGAGATCTAGCAATGAATCTTGTTTTGGGTGTAGCCCTGACCACCAGTCTTGCAAACCAACGATTGATGCAGGTTGGTCGCAAGAGTGGGATCCTTCTTGGCAGCAAAGGCATCCGATCCCATGCTTTTGGAGTTGCGTAGATGAAGAGTCAGCTGCGGAGGAAACAGCAGCAGCAGCAGCAGCAGCAGCAGCAGCAGCAGCAGCTTGAGATCGTCTTCAGACATGATTCCTTTTTGATTTCAGGTGGCAGGGCTGTGGTTCATTTGGTGGCTGCTGGAAGCTAAGCTTTCCAAACATTTTTTTTGCTACACATGTGTAGTGCAAGTGCGAGTTGCTCATGGTCTACCGTCTCCTTTTGACCAATCTAGAACTTCCCTTCCGACCAGTGCGTGTCTCGGCTACTCTCAAGGTCCTTGCCAAGGATCGCCTCAGAACGGACCGGGCCAGGCCTGGGCTGTGGGGGCCTCAAAACTCGGTCAACTAAACCATCCGTAAAATCGGAGTGTAAGTTTCCCGTAGCAAGTCACTCTGACTATGACAGAAGAAAATGCCATAAACGGCCTGCATCATATTATATGTACAATAGACGATGATGTGAAAACAAATCCGCCACATCATTGACGCGAAAAGGCTTGAGCGCCTCGGTGAGCGCAGCAGCGGCGTGGAAGCCTGGCTGTGTGGCACGAGCGGTTGTCAGTCAACTGCTTGCCCAAGGATTGTGCAAAAAAAGGGTTGACACGCTGTGTCACAAGTCTGTTGAACAAGTCAAGTTTGTTGTTTTTTCCTTCACACAAGTTTGCTGGGCACCAAGACAAGACTGCTGGGTAGCTGAGCGTTTGCAAATATCTGGACTCAACTGATGAGGTGCTTCTGCTTCGCTACAGCTGATTGCAGCTGTGCCTGGCGGGGAAAAAGAAGTCTCTGTGTGGAGCATGTTCGGCTTCATGAGCACGGGTGTGCTTCGCAACGAGCCGTGTTTTTCACGGGTTAGGAGCGACCCAGCGACCTTCAGCCCGCCTGCGTCAGCCCGCCTGCGTCAGCCCTGGGTCAGCCCGCCTGCGTCATGTGGTAGAGGCACCGCTTGGCACCTCGCTTGCACATGCCATTTCGAGCTAATCAGGTGATAATAGCTGATCAGCCACTTGCTCGCGCCAGCGTTGGGCGGCTAAAACAGACCTTCTGACCTGCGTCACATTGTGGATCTGCTTGCTGTGGAGCCTCATGCAGCTTGAATGTGTTGCTGACCTGAATAAACCACAGTGACAACTTCCGATTGGTACCCCTACCAGGGTACTTCGAAGAAGCCTGGGCCCCGCTTTGTTGACGCTGCAGCATTGACAACTCCGTTCTCAGCCCAGCATTCTTCAATACTTTGGCTTGATTTGTAGTTCGCTGTGGATCCCATTCTTTGCTGGCGGGTGGCGCAGATCTTGGCAGCTGCGACTTCACCTTGTGGTTCTTAGTATTTGGGGTTCGAACCTGAATCATGGCAGTGCAATCAGAGACTTCCTGGAAATTAGCCAGACGAACCCAGTTGAACCCTTCAGTTCCTCAACAAACCATTTGACATCCAGACGACAGCCAGCTAAAGCCGGCGGGCCAACGCAACAATGCAAGCGGAGGACATGAAAGGAATAGACAACGGCGCAACGCGGTTGAGTTTGGGTAACAGAGGAAATGGAATCTGCAAACAGCATAAACATTCCCAAGCCAGCTAGCTGGACACCTGGTGATGGCAACACCTGTATCCCGACCATGTACAACAGAAGGCCGGATCTGAGCAGGCATACAGGCAGTCTTAATCTAAATGCGGATACGTCTCAGAGGTCCCGTTCAGTTTTGTTTCGTCACAGCGTCGGTTGAAGAAGGTTTCCCGACCATCATTTGCTTTTATTTTGCTGTTTTTTCACTTTTTTTTCACAAAAAACTATTTGATGGTTGGCCATGTATGGCTGCCATCGCCCAACATAAATCTAGATTTAACCGGTCGGTGTCATCATCCACTTCCAAGTCGGACGCCGAGACAAGCGGAAGCAGCCTGAAGGGAGAGGAGACGCAGATGCATGCAGAAACAGCCTCGGGGACCTCCAAGCTGCACTACTCCGCTCCAACTTACTTTCCCGCTTGCGAGTCTGTAGGGTGTGGCACCATTTTTTCAGGGTCCACAGTCGACCTGCTTTGTAGTGTAGAGCTTCCACTTGGCCCTGGTGAGCCCGCAAGTACACGAGAGCATACAAAGCTAAAATCAATTTTTCGGGCAAAACAATGAGCTCGTAGTTTCTGATCACATGCTGGATGAAATCACTGGCTACATGTTGGCCCAAACCCAAGGTGAACGACAAACCCAACCCTTTTTTAATGACCCTTTCACTTTATTAATTTAATCAGTATGTTGCCAGCCAAGGGTGACATTTCTTTTTGTAGCTGCCTTATCTCACTCTCTAAATTGCATTTTTTTGTTGAAGTTACATAGACTTTGTGTCTTAGGCCCGCAGGGTGCATCTTCTGTAATTGTGTAGCATGTGTTCACAGTGGTTTATATTTTCACTGAGTGAATGTGCCTCCGTGAGATTCACTTTACATTCTGAGGCTGAAGGGTATACCTTGGAGGAAACATATGTTCTAAAATTGAATCTGTTTGAAGTTGCCTTCGTGAGGCATGCCCCACCTCCTCCCGCCTGAGGCCCTTTGCATGGACACAACAGCGATCGGAACCCACATCAGCTTCATTTGTGGCACGGACACGGACACATGTCAAATTCAAATGCGCACAATGCAAGATTAAACAATGAATTGCCATCGGACGCCGATAGAGGTGGACAATGTACAACTTGTTTCACGTGACGTGGTTCCGCATTTGCAACAACAATTCAACATCAATGCACGCCATTATTATCCTTGGCAAAAGCATGCAATGATCGTGTCAAAAATGGTGTCGGCTTATGCGCTTTAGAAACTGCCTACAGGACAAACACGCGACTTTTGTGAAACGCTTCGCCTTGAATGGAGTTGTCGCTATGGGACATGCGTTTTCACAAGACCATGTTCGCTTTTTCACCTGTGTCGTTCAACTCCTCGGCGAAAGTGAGCGCATTCTCGTGTTTTTTTGTCAGTTTTTCTGTGCTGTTTGATGTCGATGTCCACAAATCAAAACGGAACAAGGTCAGTGGCCCCTTCCCTTTGCAACCTCAGTGCCTTCTTCACATGGTCCGCCCTCATCGCCACGTGATCACACAATGCCACCCCCCCGGTCCTGCTGGAAGCTTCCAACCCATGGCATCCCTGAGCACGTCGCTACCAACCACCTCTTCGTCCCGCTGCTCTTTGCGGTTGCAGGCTGCCTTGCCTTAGCTGCACTTCAGCAGCCACTTTAGGACACCCTTGAAAGGGACTTCTCAGCCACACCAAGTGTGGCAACACCTGCAGCAGACCTTGTCCTTCCAGGCAGCCGCCACAGCCCACAGCGCGCGTCCCCTGCCCGCTTTGGCAGCTCTGGGCTTGGAACTCACAACTTTGTGGTGCAAATGGAGTGCGGGAAGTAGCTTCTGGGAGCTTTGGGTTCAGAACTGGGAACTTGTATAGTACAATCATGGTGTGGGAAGTGGTCTTTGGTGGGTGTGAGCTCAGAACTGGCAACTTTGCAGTGCAAATGTAGTGGGATGTCACCGTGCCATGCAGTTTTGCGCGGTCCCTATGGAAAGTGTATATTTCCTGCGTAGCCACTGTATGATCTCACCGGCATTCGCGCAGACATCTAAAGAGGGTCATGTCGGGCGGTTGCCACCCACAGAATCGGTACCGCTCCACCACAAACGGTAGCCTCAGGCTACCCGAGTTCTTGTTGCTTCAGCAAGAATGCATTGTGACCAGGAATTGGGGATTTGCCTAAAGTTTGGTCCTGTAAGGAAGGATGCTTCATCATAGGGTGCGCCTCATCGGTATCCGATGTGCTGAGCACCGGGTCACAAGAACATGGGGTTTTTGGAGGGCCTTTGGGCCCTGCCTGCTACCCTTCGTGCACCCCCTCCTTTCTCAAGTCTGGATTATGCTCCATGCCCGGGTACGGCGCCACGACGTCCACCATGGTACCACCGAAAGGGAATTGAGGAAATTGGACGGGCATGGAGATGGACGGGGTCACATCCTGCGTGACAACGCGCCTCCGTGCTGATGCCCCGCTCAAAGAATGCAGCTTGTGCGCTGCAGGCACTGTCGCAGACAAACTGAAGATTGCGTCTGTGATGCTGGCGTGCCATGCGGTTTGAGAAACCTTGGTCGGATGCCCTGGGGGAACCAGACGCATGCTTGTGCAAACACGGAAAGGTCAGTGAGCAGGATGACTTGGTGGGCTTGCGAGCGAGCGTCATTAAAGAACAATTGCCCAATCTTCATTATCATCACCTTCATCATCAGCCGATTGTTAGGTCGTCCTTCGGTGGGCCTCTTTTGGCCGCTTTAGCCGCTAGCAGCGCCATCATCATCAGCATCACCATTTCCATCGCCCTTGTCATTGCCATTGTTGTTGTGGTTGTCGTCGTCGTTGTCGCCATCATCGTCACCGTCATCATCATCATCATCATCATCATCATCATCATCATCATCACCATCGTCATCATTATCAACACTGTCATTGCCATCGCAATTGCCATTCCCATGTGTCATGACCGCAGTTGTTGAGATCCGGCGTTGACTTGCTGTGGTTTTTCGGCTTGCAACGTTCGTTTCACCTCTGTGGCCCGTATATGTCTTTCATACCCCTAACTTAACCACTGGCAGCCCGGGTGTTCTCAGGAGACTGAGAATTGGCCCACGCATGCGGCAGCAAGAAACAGCAGGCGACAAACAAGATGGTACCCTGACATGCTGCTGTGTACGCTGACTGGCTGCTGCGCCGAGAAGCTGTTGACTTTCATACGCCAAGCTTCGCTCTCCACTGGCCCAGTGCGCAATGAATGCCACCGCGCCCCTGTCTAGCACGCCGTCGCCCCCAAGCAGTGTTGTTGTTTGCAACAGAACAGGGAACCCCCTGTGCCGAGACGTATCTGTCAACGCGGTTCTTTACAGGATGTTCTTGACCATCAACTTCAATTCTTGTACAAGAACAAGCATGTGCAGCCGAGCGATGCGGCAGATAACGCGGGTGAACCAGGTGAAACGAGGAAGTTGAAGCAGCCACACCGAAGTCTAGACCGTGCAACGGCAAAATCCAAAGCGGGCCCCGGGCTGTATGCCAGTGTGTGGTCGGTGTGGTGACACGCCGCCGGTCAGCGACCTCCCTTGCTCGGTCCCCCCCGACACCGCCTGCCGCGCGCGAAGCGAAGGAGGTGGATAGAGGCATGCCCCGTAACCATGGGGCGTGCTTCACGCAAGTATTCCAGGGATCCTGGGTCATTGCCTTAATGCGTTTCCTTGGTCCATTTTATAGACGGGGTTGTGGACAAGAAAAGGGTTGGCGACCAGGAATTGCATTATATAGTGGAAAACCTGGCATGGTGAAAACACAAAGAAATTCACACTGGCCCGGGTCTAATTAATATTTTTCTCAACTCAACCCCCTGAAAGTTGACCCTTGGAACCCCTCTCCCCGTGTCAAGTCCTTACGTGTCTCCCCCTGCGTCTTGCTTAGTCTTGCTGACGTCCTTTCTGCCATTGATTCACTGATGTTGGAACGCAGCTTTGCAGAGAAGGGGGCTGGCTGGATGTTAAGAACGCATGATCTGGAATGCAATTTCCAACAGCATCGCGCGTCCCATTCAGCCCGATGAATGCTAGATGAAAAATCCTTTCCAGTGTGCTCAGCTTCACCATGCTCATCGTAAACCAGTCACGGATAAAAAGATATAAAAATATATAAATACTCCCACTTGAAGAGGGTCAACGCTGGCTCGGGTGCATGCTAACTGCCCAAGGTTCTGCCGGCCAGGATGCAGACCTT